CTACCTCCAGCAATAGGTTACATAGTATACTCTAACCTTGCGTAGTAGTCAATCTAGGAGAATGGATATTCTGAACTTTAATTCGTTTAGAATGCAACAGGAAAACTTTATCTTTCCAAAGACATCTTCGCAGACAATTCACGAAAGCACTCTATAGACGTTAAAGAAAATGGAATCTTTGGAGAGCCATGATGGCCATTATATTCAGCTGCATCTTTTTGCTTCAGATTTTGTAATGGTTTAATATTGAGAGTCTGACAAGCTTTAGGCATTATTTTCAGTTGGGTTTCAAAGCCGATGAAACTACTGACTGGATTCGAGTATGAAAAGAAAATATTACCTAATAAGAATGTCATAAAGCGGTTCATTTCTTAAAAGAAGGCTCAGATATGGTTGGCAATTTATGACACTTTTAAAAGCAAGTTAGAAGACAATTAGCTCTAGTAAACATTCATGAGATCAATTTGGTGACTTTCGATGAGCGTCAACGAAAGACATCAAATGGAGAGCCTCGAAGTCACACAAGGAAAATATTTTTGATACACCCTAATCATTTCGCATTTACAAAAACAAATTTCACTATTAACGTACAAAAAAGAAACTAAAACGTTGTTACGTAAGAAAAGTTCTTGGACAAAGCGTACAGAGAAAGTTACATTGTCAGGTGTCCGTGCGTGTGCATCCTTCTTCAAATAGAAAACATAGATGAATTTTCAAAGATTTTTTAAAGAATTAATCGTTGTCTTATCAAGGAAAATAATAAGGTATTGAAATTGGATCAAATCTGCGGGTAGTGTAACGGTTAGCGGTTCGTCAAGCTGAGTTCGAATTCCGATTGATTTCCTTGCTATCACTTTCGCACAATTAATCTTGTGAAAGGTATAAATCCATATATTATTTCCCTATCTATGGGTTAAATAGCAGGAAGACTGGGCTAATTAGTCTTGATTGGCCACAAGTTGGTAACACCCATCCACTAGCTACCTGGGCTGATATGTTAGTAAAAACGCACAAGAACTGAAATTCTTGTCATGTGAGTTGCGCAGATAAAGCCCGCGGCAGTCTATATTCAAAGCAGAATCAGATAATATACACCAGAGTTTTTTAAGAGTTAGCGTCTTATTCTATGTCTGCCAACAGCTGATACTGTCACTGGGCAAAACGTGACTGTTGAACGCACGACAATTTATGCAATAGAATTAAATAAATTATAATCTTTCTTTAATTGTTTAAATCGAAATCAATGCTAAAAATCGACGACAGTACTTGCTGTTTTGTCTGATTTTGCTGACGCTTTGTCGTATTTTATTGGGAAAAAGAAACGGTTAAATGAAGTCGATAAAAATAGATATTCACTAATCTTCATTTAGCATGACGCAAGATGAGACGAAAGTTAGGAGCTAAGATCCATTTGTCTTTCAAGAGGAAATAGATTGATAGCATTAAAACTCTGCTTTTGAATTCCAAGTTTCTGAGATTTACCATTTCCGCTGGTGGTAGAAACAACCCAACCATCGAATAGTTCTCAATAAATAAGTATTTTGTTTTCAATACTTGACGGGGATTTTGTTTATCTGGTTTAATCGAAGCGAGAAGTGTCTGAGTAAGAACAGTTTTGAATGCAGTTTTCAGATTATCAAGTTCTTTTTTTGCCTTCAGCTAAAATAAAATATCATCTATAGGTTTTGTCTTCAGCTAAAATAAAAATATCATCTATAAATATCCTAGTTGGTAATCTCCATTTTTTTTTTTTTAATTTCAGGGATAGAATTCTACATTATTTTCAGTGATTGACGGGCGCTTTGTCGTCTGGTCTAATCGAAGCGAGAAGTATCTGAGTAAGCATAATTATTTTTTTTTCGAATGTAATTTTGAGATTATAATTTTTTTTTTCTTCAGCTTTAGTACTTTTTTTTTGTATACATATTTTACTTTGATATTTTTTATTTTATTTTATATTTGGGTTCACCAAAGAAGTAGCACTGGTCAAAATGAACAGAAACAAAGCAACAGGGCGAGACAGAAGTGTAATAGAAATGTTGGCAGCCTTAGATGATTTCCGCATAGACAAGATCACCGAAATAATAAATGAAATCTTCAACAGTGTGGATATACAGGAAAACTTAAGTAGATCTATTTACAGAGCACTGCCTAAAGTGCAGACAAATGTGGACTCCATCGGACAATCAGCCTAATATACAAAATTATATTAAAAAAAAAAACTCATCATACGAATTTCTGAGGAATAGAACGCGCAACAGTATCAGACCGAAGGGTTCGTCAAAAACACTGGAACAAAGAACACAATATTTATGCTCAGAGTGTATCAGAAAGAGCAATACAAATGCATAAGGACGTGTACCTGTGCTTTATATATTATGCAAAGGCGTTCGATAAAGTACGCCATAAAGATCTGTTAGAAATGCTCAGCAATCTTGACATATTTGGGAAGGATATTAGAATTATCAAGAACTTATACTGTCAGAAAACCGTCTGCATACGGATAGAAAATGAGTTCAGCAGAAAATGGCTTAAGAAAAAGATGTGTCTTCTTATCGAACTCTGAGAAAAATAAGTGTCCTAATAGGATTTATTATTGGCGGTCACAATCTTAAGAACATAAGACATGCTACTGACACAGAAAGAAATCTACAAAAAAACTACGGAAGGAAATAAAGGAGAAGCGAGAAGAAATGATTAAACATCAACTGCAAGAAGACAGAATGCATAGTTGTTAGAAAAAGGATGAGTCCCAAATGCAAATTACAAATCGGAGATACCAAAATCAAACAAGTACAAAAATGGAAATATCCGGAAAGTGTTTTAACAGAGGACAGAAAGTACGCCACTAAAATCCGAAGGTGTATTGGGATAGCCAAATATGCATTCCAAAAGCTAAGCAAAGTATTAAGAGACAGAAAAACTTCGTTAAAACAAAAGAAAAGAGTACTGAATTGTTAGGTGATATCTGTCCTCCAATATAACTGTGAATGTTGGACAATCTTCTCAAAGATGAAGAAGAGACTTGAAGTAACGGAAATGTGGTTCTACAGAAGGATGCTGAGGATAAAATGAACCGAGCATGTGAGAAAGGACAAGGTTTTAGAAAAAATGAAAACAGAAAACAAGCTTATACTTAACATCAGGAAGAGATGGTAGAAATTTCTTCAACAGTTAATAAGGACAGAAGTTTTGTAAAATCTGATATTCACAGGACAATATGGAAGGCAAGAGAGACAGAGGAGGACAACAGCGCATAACATCCTTCACGAGCTTCAGTAAATGGATGGCGGAACAGGATTTAGGAGAAATAACGAAAAGACAAAATTTACTAAGAGCTACAGGAAATTGTGGAGAACCATGATCGCCTACGTACTGATGAGACACTGTATATAAAGAAGAATTTCTTGTAAAAATACAGAATATTTGGTTGTCAGCGAAAAAAATAATTAATGTTAAAATCAGAAAAGTACAAAAATGAAAATTTCTGGGAAGTGTTTTAACAGGGGACAGAAAATATGACACGGAAATTTGAAGGGGGCATTGCAATAGTGAAATGTGCCTTCCAAAAGCTAAGTAAAGTATTAAGAAACAGGAAAATGTCTAAGAGAGACAAAGAAATGAGAGCTGAGATGTTACATAATATTAGTCCTCCTATATGGCAGCAAAAGCTCGACAATCTCATCAAAAATGAAGAGACTTAAGACAACTGATAAGTGGTTATACCGAAGGATGATGAGAATATCATGGAAAGAGCATGTAAGGAACGAGAAAGTTTTAAGGAAAATGAAACAATGCTTATTTAGATTTAGAATCAGAAAGAGTAGAAATTTCTAAGACATATCAGGAAGAAAGAAGAGTTAGAAAATTTGACACTCACAGAGCTTATTGAAGGTAAACAGCGAATAACCTAATAAGCTTGTGTAAATCGATGACAGAAAAGGGAATTGTGGGGATAGAAAAAAGACTAAACGTTGCTAAGATCTACAAAGGATAGAAAGTTGTGGATAATCAACATCGCCGACTTCCTGAAAGACTACAGCAGCTAGGAGAAAATTGATTTTTTACATCTTGTAAATGAATATCTCAAAGTCTGCTGTTGCCTTTAGGCTCGTATATTTTAGCACTTTCCATTGGGGTATGTCACCCGAAAATGACCGTGAAATGGATCGACCGAAACGCCGAGTAACGACAAAAATTATTTTTTTAAAAAATGCGCGCTCAATAATCCGAATAACTCTTGAAAATGACTACAATTCGTGTTAAAATTACAGAAGGAACACAATTTTGCAACGCTTGATGCACATGTTACGTCATTCTGGAATTTGGAACTTCAGATTCTACGGGGGGAAAAAAGAATTGTAAATGTTTAGGAATTAATGCAAATCTGACTGACAAACCAAGGCACATATATTCATAATAAAACCTTATTTTGTCCATTGCTCGCTACGTTTGTTCTTCTCTATCATTCTCCTCTCTTTCTTCTATTCATCCACTCACACTTGTTCTCATGACTCTTTCTTTCTCTCTCTCTCTCTCTCTCTCTCTCTCTCTCTCTCTCTCTCTCAATAGACATTCATCTCAGATCAAAGTTATGCTATTTCAGCACAAGACTGATTTAAATGACGACTTCATACAAAACAACAGAAAGGGTGAAGAATACCTTTGTACTTGAGTAGCCACGATACTCAAATCGAGTAACTAACTAATGCGACCATAATGTTCGTATTTTAAGAGCGTGTCATGAAATGTAAAATGAAAGAGTAGATAAAAAAAATAGAAATATTTGTATGAATTCCATGGAATGTATTACGACTCGGTAATCTGATGATGGTTCAATGTCATATCTAAATGGAGGAGCCATTTTTTGTAATCCATCAAACTGTGGAAAAATGGGAAAGAATTGGGAGGCAAATGCAGAAAACTTACCTTACGGCACAGACTTTCAGGAAATTAGAATTTTCTTTGTTTGATATCCTATGTTAGTTTGTGAGAATCTGCTAAAAAAGAAGGCCATATATGCGAGAAAAGATGGTGGAAAAAAGCGGGTAGGAAATAGAAGGGAAGGAATATGTGAAAGAGAAAAGAATACAAAGCAAGGGCGAAAAGGAAAGAAAGAGAATATGAGGAAGGAAAATTGAGAGAGAATTGAAGAAAAGGGAAAGTAAAAGGAAAACAACGAGAAGACAATGAGTGGGAAATAAAGAAAAAAAGGAAACGTGGAAGAAACGGAAAAAAAAAGGAAAAAATGAGAGAGAAATGAACAAAGGGGAAAATGAGAAACAAAGAGACCAACTGAGGGAAATAAGAGAAACAAAGAAAGGGAAAAGAAGAAAAAAAAGGAACAAAAATGGAAAAATGAAAGAGAAAGGAACAAAGAGAGAGGGGGGGAGAGAAGTGAAAGAAAAGGGAACAAAGATGGGAAATGAATGAGACAAACTGAGGGAAATGAAAGCGAAGCAAAAAAAGAAAAAGAATAGAAAGAAAGGAACAAAGATTTCTAGGAAAATGAAAGAGAAAGGAACAAAGAGAAAGAAGTGACAGAAAAGGGAAGAAAGACGGGAAACGAGAGAGAGAAACAAAGGAAAATGAGAGAGAAACAAAAATAGAAGAAAATCAGTGAGAAAGAGGAGAAAATGAAAGAGGAAAAAAATGAAAGAGTCACAGACAAATCGAGGGATGTAAGAGAAAAAACAAAAAGAAGAAAACTAAAGAGAAAAAAGCATAGCGAAAGAAAAGAAAATAAGAGCCGGGCAATAAAACCAAAATTAAAAGCAAGAAAAAATGCGGTAACTGATATAAACTAGTTACCTGGTGTTAGATCTATTTTCCCAATGGTACCCATGATCGATTTACAAACATAAATCTTTACAAATTTTTACCAACTCAAATTAGTTAAGACTAACACAGAGACAAGGAGAAGGTAACAGAGTACTCAGTAAATAACGAACTCACGAGAATAATAAATGTCTGGAAAACAAGTTTCTTCGATGTGCCTTGTCCCTTTGGAACGTCGGTGATCGTGTCTCTCTAAAGCTTTCTGTACTTAGCAATGTATACTTTTTACTAACTTTCCGACTCTCTAGTCTGTCATTCATTTACACAAGATTGTTAGGTAGGTTACTCGCTGTTACCCTCTGTTCCATTTGCATGTCTTGTGAGTGTCAAATTCTCTAAGCTCTCCTTTCTCATTGTGTGTCATATAAATTCCAACTGTTTCTTTCTAATCTTAAATATAAGCGTCCTTTTCCATTTTCCTTAACACATCCTCGTTACTTACATGTTCCGTTGATGACATTCTTAGAATCTTTTTGTAGAATCACATTTCTATTGCCCCATGTCTCATCTTAATCTGTGAGAAGATTGCCCAGAATTCACTACCGTATAGGAGAACTTATATTAGTTCAATGCTCGGGTTTGGTTTGGTCTATTTTATTTTACGGCATATTAACCTCAATGGGTTATTTAATGCCGACAAGATTTTCAGTATATGTTCGTACGCATAGAATATTTATTATTTGTAAAAAGTGAGTTTGTAGATCAGGTTTCAATAACGTATTTTTGTAAAGAATTTTTTTGTTGAGAGTTAAATGTATTGCTGGTATTTTTTTAAAAATGCATTGCTGGTAATATTTTTTTAAAATGTATTGCTAATATTTTTACTATAAAAATCTATTTTTATACTTTCATAGTGTTTTGACTCCAGCTTAGAGGTTAACTATCTGTTCATAGATGGGACCCTAACTGGTGCTACCACCTCAGGTCAAGGTGGAACTGGCAACAAAAGCATTTAAGAGATTGTTCCAAGTTCTTGAAAAAAACCCAATCAGAGGACTTGCTACTGGATGTAGTTTATCTTCATACCCAGGGCATCTCAATATTTTGTCCATAGTTTCTAACGATATTTTCTCGTTTTCTTTTTTTAATACTTTGCTTAGCTTTTGGAAAACACATTCGATATTGCAATGCGCATTCGGATTTCGAAGTCACATTTTCTGTCTTCTGTTAACAAAAACACTTCTCAAATATTCAAATTTTTGTATTTGCTTAATTTTGGCATCTTCAATTCGTAATTAGCATCTTGGTGTGTTCCTCTAGCTGACAAACGTACATTCAAATCTCAGATGGAAGCAAATTTTAAGTTAAAAATTTCAAACTTCATCGCCAACATCAATCATGTCCAAAAATAAGGTTTTTAACTGCCCATCAAGAAGAGTAACACAAGTTCTTAAATGCTGATTGATGGCATTCTTTTCTAGGAGTTTACGTGGAAGTTATTTTTCTAGTTTCTGAATTTCTGTTCTAAGATTTGTAAAGGGAATCTTACTCAACTTATTCCCAAATTATTTTCCTTTCTTTCTTTCTTTCTTTCTTTCCTTCTCTCTCTCTCTCTCTCTCTCACACACACACACACACACACACACACACACACACAAACTATTCTTTTAGTCTCTCTTTCCTTTTGTCACAGAATTGTTACACTACGTATTTTGAAAAAGAAAAAGGGGTGGTAATGTTACAGAACGCGGAGGCTACAGCCAGAATGGTCAGTGATTGGCCGGAGGGCCTCTTGGGCGTGGTATTCTGACAGTGATGGATTGCCTTTGTCTCGGTTTTGGATATAAATCCAAATCAGCACGAATTCAACAGACGGCCGCAAGAATTCTGAAGTGTCGATACGCCTCCTGCACCCAGGCTGAGAGACCGACTAAGACCACCCGCGGAGGGACGCTGAGCCAACATGCAACATACGTTCCTGTGACGTCATTCCTCCCGCTGCCTCCTAGAATCCAAGCTGCCACCACTCTCTCCTAAAAAAAAGAAAGAATAAGAAAAAGAAATGATCTTTTTCGTTGATTTTATGTAGTAGCGTGGAGACCCAGAGACGGCACAGAACTCAACACCTTTCGATTTTCCTTTCTTTTTCCGTCTCCCTACTTTCTTTCTTTGACTCTCTCCGCCCATTGTTCTATACCTATATACCCGTCTTATCTTTTATAATCCTCGATTTTTCGCCTTCCTCTCCTCTCGCAAGGTTTCCCTAACATTGATTAAAACATGACGCATGTAGTTTTTTTTTTTTACCTCAAACGAAATTAAAAACAATCATCGCACTCGACATCATCTTTTTTATCATTATGGACCTCATTGTTTATCTTGAATAGTAAGGCTTATGGTCGTATCTCATTGAAACACCTATTCTCGTACAATCACCGAAGTTAAGCAGTGTTGAGCCTGGTCAATACATGGCCGCTTAAGACTACCAGGTACTGTAAGCTTGGATGTGTGACTGGTGTAATGAATAAAGCTGGGTATTGAAAATCGGAGAGCAGTGTCCCAATTCAGGTCGAGTTCATTATATTCACAAATATCCCTGGAGGAAATTATGAATCCACCTCTTCTTTCCACCAGCTATGGATTAATTAGTAGGATTAACATACCCAAAAATCTAAAAATATTTTCTGGCTTTAAATAACCTGCAAAAGGTTGATAAGCCGTAAAAAATAAATCAATCATTTTAGAAAAATATCTTCTATGGTAATATTTATGGTTTCAAAAGGGTATTTTTCAAAATTTTAATTAAAGCATAACATATGCAATTAAATTTATATATTACTCGCTGTAATTTATATATTATTTATATATTATATATTTATATGTAATTTATATATTATTTATATATTATATATTTGCATGTAATTTATATATTATTTATATATTTATATGTAATTTATATATTATTTACCTATATATTTATATGTAGTTTATATATTATTTATATATTATATATTTATATGTAATTTATACATTATTTATATATTTATATGTAATATATATATATTATTTATATATTATATATTTGGATGTAATTTATATATTATTTATATATTTATATGTAATTTATATATTATTATTGTGAGACCGGAAACTACCTACACAATAGACTCTTCCAGGCCTATATTAAGTACTAGCAGTAGAGCCCAGCGTTGCCCGGGAATGTAACAGTAAGAGATAGATCAAGTATCGACCATCATAAAGACTGAAAAATAAAACTGACAAAGGTTATTTTTTAAGGTTGACGGACATAATTAGTTTTTTTTTTTTTGTTTTTTTTAGGAATTGCTCAAACCCAAACTCAAACGAAAACATTGTTTTCACTCGTTATGAGTCTACCGATTGAATAGAATTTAATTATAAAAAATTGTCATGTAAATGGAATTTTTAAAGCATTCTGAATGTAAAAATAAAGAAAAAAAACTGCAAGACAATAAGAAACACTACCTGCCAAAAAAAAAAAGTCTTGTTGAAATCGGTTGAAAAATGTAGGAAATCCGATCCCATATATAAAACGAACACACACACAGACACACAGAAACAACCAACCTGGGTTTTATAATAAGTATAACTCGATAACTCGATATTAATAAGTATAACTCGATATGAGTTGTCCCTCTTTCATTAATGCCTCTTATTCGTGTTTTCAAATTGATTTCGTGCAAAAATCAATTGTGTTTTTCCAGTTTTTGGCACTGTCAGGACCACACCAAGGTAATTTTTACGTAGTCCTGTAAGTTTTGTTGAAATCGGATGAAAAATGTAGAAATCCATCCAATATATAAACGTACAGACACACACACACACAACCTGCGTTTTATAATAAGTAAGATGCGAAAATAGCACTCTATAGAGTGACAGAGAACAGACAGATGACACAGAGAGAAAGTGAGATCTAGTACGACTACCAGTACTGACACTAACATATAGTAAGCTCCGCTTACAAAATCTCTGTAACCTGTTGTTAATATATCTTTCTTACATCTAATCCGTGTTCCGTGTTTTCCTTCTGTGGTCCCAACTTTGGTCCCACATCAATTATTTACATACAGATTTATATGTAATTTATATATTGTTTATATATTATATATTTATATGTAATTTATATATTATTTATATATTATATATTTGCATGTAATTTATATATTATTTATATATTTATATGTAACTTTATATGTTATTTACATATATATTTGTATGTAATTTATATATTAATTATATATTATATATTTATATGTAATTTATATATTATTTATATATTATATATTTGCGTGTAATTTATATATTATTTATATATTTATATGTAATTTATATATTATTTACATATATATTTATATGTAATTTATATATTGTTTATATATTTATATGTAATTTATATATTATTTATATATTTATATGTAACTTTATGGTTTTATTAAAATACTTTTACTTTGTAAGTCAGTTTAGTCAGCTATATGCCATGCATGATACACACTTAGGAGATTATGTATCTTTCGATTTTTTCCCGCAGTAGGTTGCCATTTCTTTCTGCGGTAGACCAATTGCCATTCAAAGCTATAGAACTGTCCTATTATTTACCCATAGCTTTTCCAGAGAAGAAGAGATTTATTCATATATTTCCCAAGGGTATTAGCATGTAAGTGAATATAATGGGTTCGACTGGAATTCGAACTCGGCTCTCCAATTCCTCAATCCGAGCCTCTATCCATTACTCCACCGTACGGGAAAAAAATTTGCCTCGAAAGATACATGATCGCCTAAACGTGTATCACGAGTGGCACATAACTGACTGACTGAGCTACTCCTATTAAAGGGGGAAAAATTAGTAAATAAAATTTCAGAGATCAGACAGAAACATTAGAAATATAGTGTTGAAGTAGACTTTAAAATGAACCGGAAACCCTATACTAAACAGGAAACAAGGGATAAACCTCTGCTCCTGGTCAAAATGTCGGAGAGGGTTGTGAACCGGGAGATAGGCAAACCTATCTACTATTAATTTATACTATTCCTAACACGCGCAAATACCCTTGAGAATGTTATGAATTCATCTCTTCTCCCTCCATCTATGGGTTAAATAGTATGACATATTGGGTCCTATAGCACTGGTTTGCAAACGCAGAATGTAAAAAAATTCTTCTTAATGCAATCCAAATCTTCTGCCTTTCAAATTGAAACGAAAATAAACATGATCAATTTTATTTGCATTAAACATGGCCACCTAATGAAGAAAGACGGGTTATATTTTTGAATTTTCTAATTTTTTAATTTTTTGTCTATGGAGTTCAGAGGTATCTATAACCTCAAATAAGGCATGATTAATATCAATGAACTTAAAGGAAAAAAATGATTCAAAATGATAAAATCGTGGAGAAGGCCAACGGACCTTCATTCCACTATCTTTTTCCAAAGTCAAAGCAAATTTTTCCGGAAAAATAAAGAATGGAAGAAATAGAAATTTTTACTCTCTATATCCTGAAGAAACATAAAAACAAAGTTAATAGGCGGGAAGTAGAGTTTTCAAATGGTTGATTTTTTTTATTTCGCTTAAAAGAAAAGAAAATATTGATTTTCTTTATGAAGCAAATTGTTATGTGTTTCCTATCGGAGACCACAATCGGTATTCGACCCAAAGATTTATGACGCAGACAAGCCCATTAAATTTCGAACATTGACACAACACAATCTTCTTATTCTTTCTCCTCCGCAAATTTAGCCTTGTGCCACATTAAACTATATAGAGTAAATATATATTTACTCTGTGCACTTTTTATGCATGTATGTTTGTTCGTGTGCCTGTACATGTCATCGTGCGTGCAGATGTCCAGATGCGTGTAGGTGTCTGCAGATATCTATAAATTGAATATCTGTTATTGTTATAAATGCCATTTATCACCAAAATGCATATCAGTTGGGCAGACAATTATTCGAAATTATACGCTTGATTTATGATTTTAAAGGTTTTTATACGTCACCGACATTTTTTAGATATCATCATTCAAAACGTTTTTGTCTATTTCTATCGGCCTCTCACTTTTTTTTTCTTGACTATTTAAAAAGACAAATTTAAGAAAAAAAAAAAACGGAATGTGTTGCTCAGGGTTTTTTATTTTTGGTTACTCGTAATTGTTGAAAAAAAAATAAGAAATACAATATTTGCCAACAAAAGACAATATTAAATCAATTATGAAAGAAAGATCTTATTTTCTTTATGATTTGGGAAGGACAAGTTTATAATGCCAGTAATATATCTATTATTTCTCTATTTTTTTACTTTATGGCTGGAGACTAAGGGAGCTGAATGAATATTTTCATAAATGTTTCAAACTGGTTTTTTGGGCAGTGCAATTAATTGGTTTGTAGAAATTTTAGATATTTTATATATATATATATATATATATATATATAGAGAGAGAGATTTTATTTCTTCAGAGAGAGAGAGGGATATATTCTAGAGGCTACACGTTTTAAATTTTAGAATAGTCCTGCCTATTGTTCACCCTCACATTTTTTAAAATACACACACACACACATACAGACACATATATATAATTTTAATATATATTTATATATACAGGGTGTCCATAAAGTTTGTATGCACTTTAAAAAATTTATAACTTTATTTGTATTTACAATAGAAATAATTTGTAAAAAAGATTAGAAAGAAGTAAATCTATATTTTTTAAGGTCTTATTGAAATTTTATTTAAGTTTCCATATGCCATCCATCATTAGCAATACAAAGGCTAATACGATTTGGCAGTTCACGGGAAACATTTTCCAACTGATTTACAGTAATGCCTGAAATCACATTAGTTATTTTAGCTATACTTAAAACTAGGTACATTAAACTTTATATCTTTTTTTACAGATTATTTCTATCGCAAATACAAATAAAGTTATAAATTTTTTTAAAATAGCACACGAAATTTATAACACCCTGTATAAATATAATTATATATATATATATATATATATATTTTGGTAATAAAAAAATTATAATGAAAAATTTAGAGCAAAAGTTAATATCAATTGATATATTTATTAATTAACCCTAAATTTAATATTTTAATTCGATATAAAGTTTAAATATATAACGTAATCTTCAGGTTTTATTCTGTAAAGAACAGA